ATCTACCTCTTCAAAGACAGTTATAGAATTTTTACAAGACAACATATTCTTACACGGGATACCTTATTCTATAAGGGTGGATCATGCTACTTGCTTTACAAGTCAAGACTTCAAATCATTCTGCGATTCTAACAACATCAAAATAATCTTTTGTACAGTAGGCAATCACCGTTCCAACGGATTAGTCGAAAAACTTGTACACACTGTAAAAGTCAAACTACTGGCTATCTCAAAAGAACATCATAAAACCACACTGCAAAATGCCGTTTCAAAAATCATTTGGAACCTACGTTCTACTTTCCAATCAAAAATTAAATGCTCACCTTTCGAGATCCACTATAACAGAAAACCAAATACTATTTGGAAACAATTAGCTTCGGGTAAACCTTCCTTTGGAATTTTAGACAAAGGGAAATCAATATTGTCTAAGGATCGAGCTAAGGATTGGAACGCGGATGATAGAATAGAGGACGGATACAAGGACGATTTGATTGCGAAGAAGAACCAAAATCCGACTGAAAAAGGCTACGATACAGACTATGCTTCATCCTCGAAAATGACTCAAAACAGAATACCAATCGAAAGCCCTTTTAAAGGTAAAATCCTTCGGAAAACTAATGGTAATATCAACCGAGACTGTTTTTATAAAGAACTAAACAAAAGAATTATAAATTCTTCGACTTCGACAGTTAAGTTATCCGACGGAAAAATAATACGAAAATCCGACATTGCGATTCCTATCTCTACCTCAAATAAAATCAGACCTTTTAGAGGAAAAATTTCATTCCCGTACTTTTCTAACCCTAATGTTGAAGTAGGTCAGAAACTGGAAGGCTCAAAAAGAAAACCAAAACCCAAGAAGTCAACAAAAAGAAGGACCAGACAATTAGACCCGACATCATCCGATAACCTAACTAGGACACGCATTTCTGGATCATCATCCATCCCGACAAGAAGACAGACACGACGCTCAAAGAAGTCACCAACTCATCCAGGTTACCTCGCTTCGGATGAATCTATGCTAATTTCTTCGGATATTTCGGATACTAGTGAATGGGAATGGATAGCGGGCGGTTTTCCTTGTAGAGACGTAGCCAGAGAGCGCTTTATTTCGGATTCACTTACACCTCACATCTCAATCGGAAATAATTTTAATTCTACTATAACCAATCCTGAAATAAAATCTGAGATTTTAGAAAACGATAGTTTCCCAATCAGTGAACAACCCATGGATCAATCATATGAGTGCCCAATAAGTATAGTGCCAGCCAGCCGAACATCTAACTCGGCGGATCAGAGAACCGCAAATCAGGGAGGGGAAAACGACACCATTGGACAAAATGACTTACAATTTGAGCATAATCCGACGGAGACCGACTCAAACACAGACTTTCCGGTGTATGAGATAAGTGACTCAACGGATGAGTGCACTATATCCAACAGTCCTGCCATAATACCCGGTAAAATTCCTGCTACTATCCGTCGCTCTAGTAGAAATGTCGGCCCACCAAAATTTTATGGTCAACGTTACTTTATTGATGCCGTAGAGAGTGTCCAAGAAGCCTCTGGTTCGGCGGCCGAGCCTATTGTGTTAGAGATTGAGGAACCACATGAGACAATCAACAAGACGAATCCGGCGGAGTTAATTGTTCTAGATTCAGATTCATCAGCTTCATCAGATCAAATGTCAAACCCATCAACCGATGAATCACTGAGAATGGAAATAGCAAATTTCGGCGACCACTCCGATCTTGATAGTGAACTTTTCAACACTGAACTCGAAAACTTTTTAAAAGACTATAAAACTTTATAACCACTTAGATATACTTTAATCTGATATTCTGGCTTACCAAATAACACACATTACTGAGTAAACCGGTGCTAACATTCAGATATTAACGGCCGTTCACTAAACTTAAGAACTTAACCCTGCGGATAAAATTTCATGTAGTAAAAAGAAGACATCTTCACGTGTTTTCCTAAATTCTTTAATTCGCCTTCACTCCAGTTTGTGTTTTACAAACCAAGACCAACTCCATTAAAATTATGTGCTATCTACGCATTTTACTTTGTAAACCGGTGCTAATTTTCCAGTTACCAAAATGTGTTTGCTAAATTCGACAACTTTATCCTTCGGATAAATTTCACCCTACAAAAGAAATTATCATCTGTTGCTCCCATAATTTCTTTAAATCATATCCTCTTCACTCGCGCATTATAAACCATGACCTCACTCATAAAACGTGGTCCTAAATTCAGCGTTGTGCCAAAACGTGATGCCTTTATCTCATCTTAACATAACCATTATCCATCGGAATCTGGATAACCTTTGTTGCTGTCATTTAACACTAGTGGAGCTTACTTAGTGTTAGTACCTCATCTTAAGGCGCTTTAATTTTCCTTCCTCGTCCTTAAAGGGGGAGAAAGGAGTCAGTCATAGTTAGTTATTGTGCATTACTATATTGCAATTTAAATTTTTTCCTGCTTAAGGGAATGTTGTGATTTTACATCAGGTTTTGCAATTATTGCTAAACATACTTATTTAATTAACTGGTCACTTAGTTATGACCTTCATTAGCCATTCTCTCCGGCGGAGAGAATGATCTCTCACTGTTTTAATGTTTTAACTTACCGACTAATTCATCTTAATTCTTATTCTTTTTAATAGTTTTAACTTAGAATTAGCTACAACGAAGTAACATTTTATCAAATAGTATGCGCTTAAAAATCGTTCCAAAATAAATGTTATATATCCAAGAAGTTCATTACCAGGTACGAATAATTTTTTTCTTGAAATTGGGGGAGGAAAAGTTTTTTTTGAAACTTCATCAAGGATTTTTTTCGATTTTTTCTTGACATTGAAGAAATTTATATTTTAGGAAGCAGATTAGCAATATGCCAACAGGGCTGTATTTGATATACCAACAGCTGTTTAGCTTAAGAGCTTGATATACCACGAAAATAAACGAAGGTTTTTATTTTTGGAGCGAAACTGTCCACCTGATGACTTTTTCGCTCTCTGACTTGATTTTCGCAGCTGCAGAAAGCAAAGGAGATAAAACAACGACGAGAGCACGACTGAGGGTAGAAAGAAGCCTCCCCATCGAAACAGACCCTGGGTCGCAAAATCAGCCAGACATGCCGAACCTCTGTCAGTTTTAGTTATGCGGGTCCGCGTGACCCGAGCTATAATCAAAATAATAACCTCAATAAAAATTGTCATGGTGTACATAACAAGTTCTTCTCGAGTACATGCTTGTATTGAAAACTGTCTTGCAAATGATAATTTAGTATATATTACAGTGGCGGATCTAGAATTTTCTCGAGGGGGGCGGGTTTTTCTTAGGTCGACTTTTTTTTAGGTCGACAAAATTGATTTTCTGAGCTCTCCTAAAGTACTAAAAAACATTGTTTTGGCCTAATTTTCTGCGCCGCGGACAATTTTTTGAAAAACAGGTAAAAAGCCGTTTTTCGGCACTTTTTGGAAAATTTTGACGAAAAATCGCGTTTTTTCGGCGCGCGCTCCCCCTCAAAGTTAGTATATATTGGCGTCGGTAGGCCAAAAATTGATTTCTTAAATAGTGCCAAAGGGGGGACCCTTTGAGTCGGCAGAGGGTCGAATCCCTGAGGAGGGGGTGTCCGCCCCTCCGCCGCCTCCCCCCTTAATCCGCCCCTGATATAATATCATTTACCCTACAACGAAGCTGATGGCTTTACAATTTTTTCGAAGCGTCGTACAAGACTTTTCCTTCGAGCAACCCGATGTCGCCTGCAAACCGAACTTTTTGTATTTTCAATTGTATCCGTTCAATTATTTATCTATAGCAAAAAAGACTGCTCCTGATAATGAACCCTGAGGTAACCTGCAAAAGAAATTTTCAACATCGGAATCTTGTTAATCAAAAATTACACAAACAGTAAAAAAAGGTGATCGATTGTTCTTGACTTCAATTAACTGGCATCAATCCACATTTTTTGAAAATCAAATTGCTTGCGTGCGATGAATCTTTTTTTCCTGTAAAAGTTTTTCGACTAATCAACTTTTCGTTCGAACAATTTTTCATAATCTTTGCCTAGAATGGGAAAAAGAGACAACTGTTTGTTGATTAGAACAAGATGTTTTCTTTTCTTTTTTGATCTTGAGGATAACATTTGAACCATTCAATTAGAGCAACTGAAAAAAGAAAAGTGGGGAATATTTCATCAAAAGTCACATACAGGTAGACATGTTGCCGGATAGATAATTTTGATCAATTGATTCGATTTTCCAGAAAGTGCTTTGCTTTTTTATAGGTCGCAAACTTAATTTCATCCTTTTTTTTTAAATTTCTTTCTAAATGCTTTTTAAAGGAATTAGAATACCCTGTCGAAATGAACCGAGAAAAAAATTTTGTTCGCTGAAAAGTAAAAAACCGGCACAATAACTTCAGTCTTTCGGGGTACAGCATTTTTTGCAAATTACCTAGCTGGCTCGTTGGTGCTAAACCAATTGTCTTTTCGTCTGAAAATTATAGTTCCGATTCCTAAATATCTACAAAACTAGGCAAGCTTCATGTTTGGAAAATTTAGCGCCGTTTCTTCAAACCGTCCCCCGTTCCTCGGAAAATCCCCGATCCGCAACTGTAGCAATTGATTTCTTTTTGATATTAATTATTCCAAGAGTTTTTAATTTGAGATTTTGGCAAGGTAAAAACTAGACCGGGCGAGAATAAAACCTCATCATCACCCTTTCATCAGTACAACGGTTCACCACTCCCCCCCCCCCCCCTCCCCCGCCTCTTACCATCAGTTTTTACTACATAGAACTTCGATTACGTTCTCTGATTATAATGAAGTTTGGCCTAGTAATTTGGTTGATCAAGTTACTCTGTCAAACTTCCTTACAATCGGAGCATCCTATTTTGACGTCTGCTGCACCAACTCACTATAACCCTAGTTCTCATCGTAAAATAGATGTTGATGTCTAGTGGTGGATGATTAAGGGCCTATTTTCTTGTTGACTTAAATATCGTCTGGCTGAGATTATTCAGTGAATTCCTCGTATAGGCGGTAATCCCCCTCCGCATTCCAGCAGTCTCTCCCTACGCAATGATGTTCATGTAACTAAAAAAATAACAATGATATAGAATTATATGAAAACTAAAGCACTGTTCAAAAAACTGCATAAAAAGAAAGTTAGCCTTCCTAAGAAATATTTCGGATTATTTTTTGAACCTAGATTTTTTTTTTAAAAATTTCACATAGATTACATCAGTCGAGTTTAAGAAAATTCGAGTCTCGACCAGTTTATTTATTTATATGTTTAGGTTAACTAACTGTTAATAAATATGTTAAGCATAACTTACTTCTGCTTTGCGTGAGAAGTCCATGACATACATGCTCGGTATCAGCAACGCAGTAAAAGTTAGAATTCCATAATAAATCAATCTGTTCTTCTGTCTGAACAAAGTCTTGGCTCTAGTTCCATGACATATTAGAATATATCTTCCCAAAGCGATCCCAAAAGTGAGGATAGTTTGTGCCCAGAAGGGATACAGTTCGATCAAGCGCCGAGTAAGGCCAGAGTATTTGGCGATGTCGCCTTTCGGTTTTCTAATCGATGAACAGAAAGGAAGGAACATTGAGACGCGTGTGCAACTTTCGAGCAAATTGAAACATTTGAGAACTTTTCAAATTGGAAACATTTGATAAATGGTGCAATTTCTGCATATTTGATATTCTGTATGAAAAATGGTGCAACTTTTGAATAATAAGTACATTTACCGTAATAACTTTCGCTACTCTGTTTTTTGGGCTTACTGTTTCATAAAAACGTTTAGAAAATACGGAAATCAAGCAAAGGCTTATGAAGATTTATGAAATACTTGAGCGTGTATCTAGATTTGGTTTCAATGTTTTCACATGTTGAATGTTTGACAGAAATCATGGACAGAATCCAAATTGTACACCTGGTAGAAGTTTGGCATCCTGTAAATTGATTAATAACCAGATGTTTTTTTCATTATTATAGCCTTATCTGGAATTTTAAACGAATTCCAAAATCAGTTCTAAAAGTATTTTCACGTATCTTTTAGAAAAAAAGAATTAAAAAAAATATTTATAATTTTTAAAATTTTTTAATCAATTTTTCATCCAAAAAACTTTCATTTAGCCCTCAAGTACAGTCGAACATTCAGGATTTCCCCCTGATATATGAGCAGTCTTTTTGCTTTTTAAAAACTTTCTCTACGGATATATGAGCAGTCTTTTTAAAAAATTTCTCATCTAAACATTAGAACAACATTATTACAAAATCAACCACGTCTCTAAACAATATATTAAATAAGTGTTTTTTATTTAGCTGCGAAATTTCGAAAATATATATCCCAAATTTTTTTCAATTTATTTGCAAAAAAAACAAGAAAAAACACCCAAAGATGCTTGAGACCTACTTCTTTTTTTTATAAGCGTAGTCGAGGCAGAAGTTTTCACGCGAAAAAAAAACCAGAAAAGAAAAACGACTAAGATTTTTTGAAAATTGAAAAAAAAAACAAAGTTTTAACTTATTTGTATGACAAGAAATTTGCCATTTATAGTAGGGGTATGGTTCTAAAACCTGGTTAATCTGTAATCTGTCAGTATTTTTTTAGCTGCTTGGATAATTATCATCACCGCAGCATTTTATTTACAATGTAGAAATACATTTGAGCTTCAATTCTTCTCAACGCGTTTAATTTTGAAGGTAAAAACAATTTTTTTTTTAATTTTGATTATTTGCTTCGTCATTGAATACTTAATTATTTGCCATTGAAAACCATCTTGTAAAAATTACTCCTATAATTTGCCCAATTTTTCTAATTACTTCTTTGAAAAGCTATCTTTTCTAAATACCATTGCGCTAAGCAACGTTATTGCAATCGGGTACTAGTTTTTTCCCCGTAAATACCTTTGTTCATAGAATGGCCAACTTTAGTAGGAATTGTAAATTTTACCCTCAATAGCTCTCACACTCAATTTTTGAAATTTTAATTAAGATTACTATCAGTTAGGTTGTAATTAGGTGGAGTCTTTTTCAGGCAATAACTCTTTTTGTGAAATAAATTTTTTGAATAAAAAAATGACTTCTTTTTGGATTCGTGGTTTTGTCCTAGTTTTCGTCGGTTCATTTTCCTCTTTGCTATTGTCACTTTTAGTATTCAGTACAGTTTCTTAATGATTGAATTTGCAAAGCATGGGTTTTAGTTTGATCCCATCAATTTTTACTATAACTCGAACTTCTTTATTTTATAAATTTACCAAGACAAATTATAATTAGTTTTATTTGTTTAAACTTGTTTTTTTGTTGTTTCGAATAATTGGTTTTGGTTTCCACCCTCAGTTTTCACAACTTATTTGCAAAGTTTTGAGGGCGTAGTTGTATGGTTCTATATGTTTCAGTTCGATTGGGTCAAAAAATTTTAGCCTTTTAGCTCAGTACATCAGGTATATTTTAGTATAATATTTTATATCAGAGGGTAATTTATCTTATTTTTGATCGGTTTGAAAGATTCGGGCTATTTATATACTGGCGTAGAGAACTTATAAAATATAAAAACGTTTGAGAGCATAAGCAAAAAAAGCTTGTTTTCTAATTCTTTTGAGGAGCTTTAAAAAAACTTTACCAAATTTTTTTAAGCAAAAATTCGGCGCAACATTTGTCTGCCAAGAGTTTTCGGCTTCTTTACTGCTTTGTAAACTTTGTTTCGTTGCCTACTTGGCGCTCAACTGTCTCAATCCTTGAAAAATCTTCCTGAAAAGATTTTTGTAGTCTGAAGTTATGTACTAATAAACTTTTTGAGAAACTCAGTTTGCTTGTTCCCACTATTTAAAGAATGATTTAGAACAAATTAATTTTATTTAATTTTATAAAATTTATAATTTATCTGTAATTAAATGTAATGTAATCTGGATATGATTTTGTACGGATTGTCCATGAAGTCGCAGTAGACTCGACCGGCATTGATTAGCTCCAAAGAATAATGAGCCAAGGAAAGCAACCCACCGAAGAGAAAGTCAATGAAACTCTGCAGGCTGACCAGATAGTATTCATGCTTGCGTAGATCTTTAGACGAAAGAACAGTCAGAAGACAGTACAAGTTCATCACAATTGTTGTGAACGAAATGAAAATCTGAAGAAAGAAATTGAGTTGTATCCCGAGAAATTGTATCCCGGGTCGACATTTGCTATTTAAGTTTCGACCGACTCAAAAAAACTAGTATATTTCGACCGTCTAGACGCACGCTCGATATGTGTCTCAGCAAAAGATTTCTCGGCATTTTTTTTTCAATTAGAATGAATATTAAAGCCCGCGTTGTTGTTTTGAATTTGCAACAAAACTGTAGAACAAACAAAAAGTTTAATGAGAAATAGTATAATGAGAAGGGAAATCCATCAAACTTATGGTTTGCGGTGAACAAATCTCCTCGAGTGACTGTTGCTGAGTGGAGCACACTGAAATAGACTTTCCATTGATTCAGTTTGTTCAGCTCAAATTTCTGAGCAAAAAAAGCTAAAAATTTTTTGAAATAGTGCATTAGTTTTACGTTTTGAAACTGTTTTTGGCTTTCTGTTTCGAAAAGGTGTTCTGTGGTCGGCTTGAGGGGCGGATTTAGGGAGGGGCGGAGGGAGCTGACGCCTCTCTTCTCAGGGATTCGACCTTCTGCCGACCCAAAGGGCCAGAGGGTTACCCCTTTGCACTATTTTGAGATAGCCATTTTTGGCTGACTGACCATAAATTTTTTAACGGCGCCTTTGGCGCCAATTTATACTCACTTTGAGGGGGAACGCGCGACAAAAAAAAACGCAATTATTTGGTCAAATTTAGCCAAAAAATGCCTTTTTGACCTGCTTTATCCGAAATTTCACCTGCAGCGCAGAAAATTTGGCCAAAACAGGTCTTTTTACTGATTTAAAAGAGCTCGGAAAATCAATTTGTTCGACCTAAAAAGAGGTCGACAAAATTTTCAAAAATTTTTTGAAATCCCTCCCCCCGAAATTCTGAAAAAAGTCCGATCTGTCTCAGTCAAGACTTCAAGCCACTCAAACTGATCTTAATAAATAAAATGAATCCCAACAAAAGTATTTCTAAGATCAATTGAAAAAGGCAACAGTTATTCAAATTTTTCTTGTTGATAGAAAAGAGTGAGGAAAATATTTATACAAGACTGCTCATATCAAGGTGCCAAATATTCTGACTGCCTTTTAAGGTCTATGAAGCAGTAATAAAAAGAAAAAATTAAATGTAATAAGAACGAAGATTTTTTTAATTTGAGATTTTTTGTGAAAATCATCCTCCCTCACGCCATATAAAATTCAAGGTGATAAATTTCGCTCCCTGTAACAAATCAATAATGGCAATTAAACTTCCTTCACCCAATTTGGAATGGTTTCCAAGACGGATTGAACCACCGCTTAGGCGTTAGAAGCGCGAAATACATCGCGTGTTAATTGTCCCAATTTGACCAAATGGCAATCTTCAAACCCCCGTAAGTTAACAAATAATCATCACTAGTGAAATAAGTGCTTTTTTAAAAAAATTAAGCTCATGGTAACAATAGTTTTTGAATGACAATGTTTAAATTCCGTCAAAAGTGGCTAGTTAAAAAGTCAAAATTATCCGAAGAAGAAAAAAACACCTTGAGCACAAATATTCCGTTATTTTCGTTACGAACATTCGATCAAAAATGGGAGACTTTCTTGTGCTATTGGTATACAATGCACCGATAGCTGCCAACGTTTTCATAACAGTTCCCTTCTCTGTTTTATTCAATTTCATCTTAGGTTTCAGCCTAATTGTTTTTTCTACAAAATTCTTGTGTGACCAAAAAAGAATTTAATACCCTGAATGATTTTGAGATCTTGAAATTGTCCCAGTTGCACACTCATTGATTGGGTTACGTTCTTTATCCGATTGGTTCACGTTACTTATCAGAAGTTTGGTTGCTCCAACGAAGCCTTCAAAAACATAAGAGAAAATGAAAGCAATGTTGAATGTCGCATAAAATGCTCCGAGTGAGAAACATGAAAATGAAAAAAAAACATCGTTTTCTTTTGAAAAAACTTCGCAAGTAACACAAATTCGGCTATTCTTTTACGCAAAAACTGACTATGCAATTAGTAGATAAGCAGATAAATTGAATTAATAGTTCATTTATTAAAGAGCCTAATCTTTTTATTTATAGTTCATTTGTAATAGACTGAAACTTTACGGAATCCAAAAAACTGCCGATACCCGTGTTAAAAATGCATTAAAATTCAGGAATTCGTCACTTTTCTCGCAGCGTTTTGAGTAAATTAAGGAATGTATCGGTCATTATACATAAACAAGACTGCTCGTATCAGGGCAAAGCCCTGAATGTTCCGACTGCCTTTTAAGGTTTACGGAGCAACGTAATAACATAAAAAAATTAATTGAAATAAAGTAAAATGAAATTTTTTTTTCTTAAAGTTGAAATTTTTTAAATGAAAATCATCCCCCCACACGCCATACAAAGTACAAAAAGAGAGATTTCGTTCCTTGTAACAAATCAATTATGGCAAATAAGCTTCGTTCAACCAACTTGGAACGATTTATAAGACGGATTAAATCTCCGCTGATGCGTTATTAGCGCGAATTATATCGCGCGTTAATTGTCCCAAATTGGTCAAAATGGCCAAAAATGGCAATCTTTAAACCCTCATAACTTTACGAAAAAAGATCACAGGTGAAATATCTTTTCAAATTTAAGCTCAAGACAAAAATACCTTTAGAATGATGTAATAAAATTCCGTCAAAAATGGCTAGTTCAAAAGTCGAAATTTGTCTGAAGAAAAAAAAACCCACCCCGAGCACAAATATTCCGTTACTTTCGTATCGAAAGTCGGAACAATAACCATGTTGTTACTGCGCACATTAAGCGTACATCATTTGTGTATGCAATTTCAAACCTATGGACGGTACATTGAATACACATCGATGTGGCATGGATGAAATTTCAGTTTTGAAACATCGATTGTGCATTGATGAAACATTGATAGGACAATAGATGTAGAGTACAATTTCAAATACATTGGTGATACATTGATAGAGCAGGGATTCTAATTTGATCGTATATTCATGAAACATTGATGGTCTTACTCTCTCTACAAAAAATATGGAGCCGTGAAATTATAATTTATGTTTTCACGAGACACGCAATGATTATTGTTAACCAGTGCGAAAGAAAGATAAGCCAAAATTGGAAGAAATTGTAGCATAAATATGAGGATTATGTTTATATTTGGGATGTTTGCGTGGGTTTCTTTTAGAAAACATTGTTCAAACTTATCAATCTATCAAAATTTGTATGTGTATGAAAATGTTTTTAATGTTCATTATTTCATACCCCGGGAGTTTTTAAGTTTGTAAATCTGAAAAGATCCCGATCAAACTGATTTTTTGTGGTACAAAACTAGCTCGAAGTTGTGCAATACAATACTCTGATGGATAGTTTACTTGAGAAAATATCAAAAGTTTTTTTTGAGAAAAATTTCTGCTGAACAAATCTGCAACCATGAAAACTAAAACAATCAGGTGAAAAATTATACTAGTGTCTGCTACACTTATGACTCTTTACTGAAACATCACTCCAATTTGCATCCATGTTTCATGGATGAACCATAGAAGTTACATCCACTTTTCAGTCACGATTCATCAATGAAACATCAATGTACATTGCATCCTTGTTTAATAGATGAAACATGGAAAAACATCGTTAAAATGACACTGCTACATGAATGATACTGAGTTATGTATTTTTTACTATACTCATAGAGTAATTTCAGATAAGGTACACCGTCTGCTCGTCACGCTTTTTTATTTTCGGCCGGATAGATTCGTGCAATTTCTTAGTCTAATCGCAATCTTAATCTTACTCTTATATCTCCTTGTCTCAATAGATCTAATGTACCCCGGTTTTGCCCAAGTTAGTTCCAGAATGAGAACAACGGTAATCTAAGTTTAATTCAAATTGTTCTGGTGTTGAAACTTCAAGTAGTTTTAACACTTACAAATATGTGGGCTGTTGGTTTGATGGAGTATGATTGGTTAGTATATAATACGTTATAGAGATAAAATATCATAATAATAACCAATGATAAATACTAGTTCAGATCTGGTTCCACCCATCCGGGGTTTAGAGAGTTTTAGTTTTTCAATGTTCTATTGTAGTGTAGGATGGATGATGGTGTTTTTCTTTAGAGGTGGCGAGCATATTCTTTTTCTGCTTTGGAAGAAGAGATGTTATCACGATAGTTTCGGGAGATCGTATAATGATTTCTGATCGGTCGTGATGAATGTTGATCTGGTTGATTTTAGAGAATAGCAATAGTCCAATCACATTCGGGAGTGTCATGTAGTTTGACTTTGGATGCAGTGCCTAATGACTTGGATCTGTACGTATACTTGAACATCGAGATGGCTATTGTTCGGTTGCAATTGGTTTCCTTTACTGCGATGCCAATTCGTACTTTAAATCCGCTGAGAGTAGTGACTGTAGGCAGCATGTCAGGTGGGTCTTGCCATTCCGTAGTTCGAGTGTGATTGGGTTGTCAAGTTCCTTGCTGCTCGTGTTTGTGCTGTATATTATCTATATAAATCTTTGTTAATCTTGTTTTTAGTCATAATCTTGTATTAGTTTTTATTGCAAAAGCATTATTATTTAGTTCGGTTGTTTTAAAGAGCTACTCACACTTGAGTAACTCTCGTCAAAAATAGAGTCCTGGGTGTCACAAAGCGTGGATGTAAAACGGTGGGTGTAGACCGGCTATAGAGCATGCTCAGGACGCCTTCTTCTGGTGGGTTAGGCCAGGAGTGAGGGTATAATTTCATGCTCTCTTTTTTAAAGGGTCATGTTTTAGTTCAACTTTTTGCGCCTTTTTTATTACTGGTTTTTTCTTTTGTTGTCTTAGTTATGTCTTTTTCTCAAAAATCAAATTGTTTCTTTTGAGTTTGTCTTTCGGCTTTTTGATATTTTGTTCTTTTGTGTTCAGACTGAAAAGTAGTCTTCAAAAGAACAATTTATCCAGTTCTAAGCTGGTGTTAATCCAGTTTGAGTACCTTGGGTTTTCTTTTCTTAGTCATGCTGTTAGGTTGTGGTTTGTGGTGTTTAG